ATGTACTTGGGAATTGGAATCAGAAATGAGATTAAAATATCCTCAGTTGTTTGATTAAATAGATTCCAGGAAAGAATTTTTTTGAACGAGAATAATATTATAACCAGGTTTATCGGTTAAAAAGTTCAAGGTTATTTTTTTATTATTGGTGGTAAGTTGAAGGGGTTTTTTTTGTTGATATTATGCTTAAATTATTTAAAAGCCTCACCGCCTTATTCTTAAAGTGCTTATTATATAAAATTATATGTTATCTCATTGGGATAAGGCAAGGTTTAAAAAGGGAAACTTAAAAAGAAAGTTTTATGGGTGTGTGTTCCTTGGTACGAACTTATCAGAAATCGAAAAGGGAAGAGTTAGAAGCTGAATTCTCTAAATTCTTAACTGTATTAGTTGATATTCATCTCCATAACTTCATTTCTTTGTAATTAAGATGAGTTATTTAAAACTTTCCTGTTTTGGTAATTTGGAAATTTGAACCGTATCGTTCTTTATATGAGGAGATGTTTATAAAACTGTTTTGGATGCTATAATTAGCATAATTGTGAGAATATGATATGTTTGTATCATGTGTTGGAATAAGGGTGACGTATCAAGGAGAGGTGTATTTTGATGATAAGGGTGATATACTAAGGAGAGGTGTATACTGGGATAAGGGTGTCATATGAGGGAGAGGTGTATACCAGGATAAGGGTTGCAAAAGCATGAGTTATAAAATCTGGGTTTTTAATGAAAACATTCATTGCTATCCCATCCTTATGATACGATGACTTGAAATTGTCGCATCTGTATGATGCGATAACTTAGAGTTATCGCATTCTAGTGATGCGATAAAAAGTGATTATCGCACCTTTTTAATGCCATGAGTGAGTTTATCGCATCCTTGTGATGCGACAAGATTGACTTATCGCACCTGTATGATACGACAAGTTGGGTTTATCGCATCAATGTGATGCGATGAGTTGATGTACTCGCACCAGTGTGTTGCGAGGAGATGGGTTGTCTCACCCCTGTGATGCGAGAAAATTTTATAATCATCTATATGATACGACAAATTTACTCAGAATGTGTTTATCAAGTTATTTGGCTATTTTGATGCGATAAATAAGGTTTATTATATTAAAATGATGTATATTTGTTATTATTACAAATATGAGTTTATAATCATGATTTGATGATTATTCACCCTGTAATAGCAACCAAGAGATTTCTCACTAAATCTCAAGGTCTAACCCTTATTTTGTGTTTCAAAAATATGTCTTACAGGTCGTGCTCAATCTGAAGATAAGGGGAAGGGAAAATTGTGAAGTATTACACACACACACACACACACACACATATATATATATATATATATATGCTTGCATGTGATTTTGAGCTATCATATTCTTCTTTTGTATTTGAATACTTGTTATGTATTCAAATGTTGTATATGGATATTGTGCAAAAATATTTGGTAGCTATTTTGTAATGTAGCTTTTGTAATTAGTGGGACTAATTGTATAAATTATATTTTTGATATACGAAAATATATGGTTATATGCAAATGTAATATTGGGGGTGTTACATGTGCATCCAAACAATTATCCAAAATATAAGTTAGCTTAAAAACTAACTTATAAGGTAGCTTATGTTTTTCAAATGATGCCTAAGAGGAAAGGTTCTTTCACCAAACACGGTTTACCGTTTAGCTATTCAAGGTCTTCCTCATCATGGAACTATTAAGAGACAAACAAACGACCCATAATTTGTTGAAGTTTCAACGATGATAATAGAAATAGTCAATAGATACATGAAGCTTGATGAAAAATGGAAGGTAGATGAAAATTTGTGAATACAAATTGATAAAGGTAGATGAAGATCTGTGAACATAAATAGATGCAGATTGATAGAGTTAGATGAAGGTTTTTGTTTTCATGTTATAACCAAGAAAGTCATTCTCACAAGAACCAAATCCCCCCACACACACACACACATATATATATATATATATATAGAGAGAGAGAGAGAGAGAGAGAGAAAGGAGTATCACCAACGAGTTTTACCAACGGTTGAATTTTGTTCGTGTTTTTCTACGGATTGTCACGATTATGCGACTAATTATAATTTGTCCGATCAACTATCAATCCGTCGATGATAATAACAGTACCGGCGGATCATCCACGACTTTTAAAATTTTATTTTTATCTTTTTAGGTGAAGATGACCTTAATGAACCTAATATAAGAAAATAACTCATGTTTACCAAAAACCCCTAAGCAATGCCCACTTTTAGTTATTTGTTTACATTAAATAAGGATTACAGATGTTTCGTAACATATCAATTCATATCGAGAATCTAAACATAAAGTAGGAATTAGGAATCTAAACAGAAAATATGTTGTAAAATGTAGAGAGAGAAACAAGTACATAGTGATGAGTTCTAAGAAAGAAAAAAAGATGAGGTCTTTTGAGGGATGGGAAGGTCAGCACCACCGCAACAACCAACATGTGTGGTTGGGACTCGAAAGGTGGCGACAACGAGGTCGTCGCCCTGTTACCAGTGATGAGGTGGTGTTGATTTTAGGGAGACAGAACTCGGGAGCATGAAGATCGAGCATGAAAGAGTAACCTATAACGTGACTAAATTTTTTCAGCTACTGATCTATTTCAACTTGGTTTCATAAGTTTTTTCTCCTTTTTCTTGAGTTTCAGTGTGAGTTTGTGCACACTATTGGAAAGGTTATGCATATATGGACATAATTAAATGAGAATTATAAGAACTACTAGTAATTAATGTGGCATTTCACATTTGAAATAGTGCAAGTGCAAGTAAAATGTTGTATCCCAGTGTAAATAAAAATCGCCAAATTAAAACATGGTTTGTGTTTGAACATATGATTATCAATGGAGGAACACAAGTTATTTAAATATCACATTTGGATGGGTGGCTTGTGTTTTCGAATGCTTTCAAATGCTAAGCATATAAGTGAATTTTCGTGATGGCAAATAGTTTGACGAAGATTTTTAAAATGCCGGACAAAGTACTCTACATATACTCGAGAGAAAGTTTCCTTGAAGCATAGCCAAACACTCTGATCCACCATCCTTGTGCATATATTCGGACTTTTGTCCATTAAAACAGTGTAGTGAATCGACTGCAAAATCTATTTTTATTGAGTACGAACCGATAACCTGGTGATGAAAATATATAAGAGAAGGTTTTTGACGAACCATTCGAAATTTTCCTAAATTTTCCCAAAACCATTGATGATATTTTGTACTATAAATTTTCCTAAATTTTCTTACCAACATTATACATCTAAAACAATTTTAAATATTTATATAAAAAAATATATAAAAATATTAATTTACTTTTACAAAATCCACTTCACAAAAACTCATGTAAATATATTCAAATTTTTCATCACAAGTGAAATAAATGTTACATCTTGAGATAACGCTTGGTTTTTGTTGCACACTTTCTAAATTATATTTCATCAGCGGCTTTAACGGCACTGTTGCTGTCGTATGTTTATAATCGGCTTTTTTTTTAATTCTCCTTTGTTACAGAGGCTGTTTGGTTTGCTTCAGAATGATTAAAAGACTCTTATGATATGGTACAAAATAGAATATAATTGTTTGGTAATTGTTTACAATGAAATTAAGACACTGAATCGTTAAGAAAGGTCTATGATACAAAATCATTAAGAAGGTTTTAGAACCATTAAGAAATTTTTTTTGTCAAACAAGATTTACCTCTTAACGATTCAAATGTTGTCTCTTAATATAACTATTAAGAGGTAAACGAAAAACCCTGAGATTTTTCTTTCGTCAAACAAGATTCACCTCTTAACGATTCAGATGTTGTATTTTAATAGAACTATTAAGAGGTAAACAAACAATGTTAAAGACAATGGACCTTTTACAAAAGCAAAATACAAATTCTACTTAAATTATGAAGGTAGAGACAGTGGTTGGTGGACGACATTGATTATAGAGGATGTAAAGATGGTGGATTTCGGTAGTGGTGATGGTTGACAACAATAGAGGAGGTATGGTATAGTTTAGTTCTATTATGACGTTGTTTATAACATTCCACAAAGTTTCCTGTAGTTAGTGCTTCCTCTTCAACAAGTATGGAAGTGTTGACTACTATTTGCATTTTGGTTTGAAAGAGATCTCTAACACCAACTCTATAATATTACATATATATATATATAGGGTTGGATTTACATGAAACGAAGGGTTTTTCGTGAGACCTTTAAGACCAATTTATGTTCATTGATCAACTCTATAAGCTCTAAAGTTGCACAGTGGCAATTTTGTGATTATTGAGAAGTCTCGTGGCATTTATGAATGTTTAGATTGTCAGATTGTAGATCTAATTCAAATGTTGAGAATTAGTCTTACGGGTCTCACGAAAAACTCTGGGTCTCACGTGATCACAAATCATAATAAATGAACTCTCATCATTTCCATAAATATCTCAATTAATTGGGTTGTATTTGTTGTACAAATGAACATGGTTGTATTTGAAATATACCCTATATATATATATATATATATATAGACTTGGGATCATGTAAGACCAATGGTTTTTCGTGAGACCCGTAAGACCAATTCTCAACCATTGGATAACATCTACAATCGTCAGATCTGAACATTCAGAAACGCCACGAGACTTCTCAATAATTACAAAATTGACACCGTATAATTTTAGACCATTAGATTATTAGCTTATAAAGTTGATCAATGAACATAAATTGGTTTTACGGATGTCACGAAAAACCTTTGGTCTGATGTGAACCCAACCCTAAAATATATATATTAAAGAAACTTAAAAGTATGGAAATAGACAAAACTAAGGATCCACTAAAAGTGAAATGACAAACAATGTTTGAAGACAATGGACCTTCTATAAAAGCAAAATACAAATTCTACTTTTGCTTAGAAACTTTGTTAGGATCCTTTTATACATATAAGAGGAATTAAACGAGGACCATCTCTTGATCTTGTTGGGTTCATTTAACAACATGGCTTCCCTTCCCATCCTTACGGTTCTTGACCACTCCCACGTATCGCCACCACCGGCCACCGTAGCCGACGCTTCTCTGCCGCTCACTTTCTTCGACATCTTATGGCTAACCTTTTCTCCGGTTCACCATCTCTTCTTCTATGAACTCCCATCTGTCTCTAAAACCCATTTCATCGAAGATATTGTTCCCAATCTCAAACAATCCTTATCGATCACCCTCCAACATTTTTTCCCTTTTACAGGGAACTTGATCGTTTTTTCATCTCCTACCCGAAAACCTGAAATCCGTTATGTTGACGGCGACTCAGTTGCGTTCACTATTGCAGAGTCTGCTCTTGATTTCGACGATCTTACCGGAAACCACCCTCGAGACTGTGGTAAGTTTTATCATCTTATACCTCTATTGCCGGAAGCTACAAAAGAATCCGATCATGTAAAGATTCCGGTGTTCTCCGTTCAAGTGACGTTTTTTCCAAACTCTGGTATCTCCATCGGAATGACCAATCATCATAGCCTTGGTGATGCCAGCACTCGATTTTGTTTCTTGAAGGCATGGACGTCGATCGCTAGATCTGGTTCAGATGAGTCGTTTCTAGCTAATGGAACTTTGCCCATTTTCGATAGAGTTGTAAACTACCCGAAAATAGATGAACTCTATCTCAAGAACTTGGAGATTGAAACTACTTTTAACAAAGATTATCAACCTCCAAGACTTTCTGCACCAACCGATAAAGTTCGAGCCACGTTTATCTTGACTCGAACTGTCATCAATCGATTGAAGAAATGGGTTTCAACCGAGCTGCCAACATTACCATACGTATCATCTTTTACAGTATTATGTGCGTATATCTGGAGTTGCATCGCGAAATCACGCAACGATGAGCTGGAAATATTTGGTTTCTCGGTCGATTGTAGGGCACGAATCGATCCACCGATTCCGGCAGCCTATTTCGGGAACTGTGTCGCTCTATGTATGTCCATCGCAAAAACCGATCTTTTAACAGGAAACGATGGATTCTTGAACGCTGCAAAATTGCATGGAGAAAATCTACATAAGATGTTGACCGATAAAGATGGAGTCGTGAACGATAAATGGCCGTTTGGTGGTTTATTATCGCAAGGGACGCCAACGACAATGATGGGGGTTGCCGGAACACCAAAGCTGAAATTTTACGAATTGGATTATGGATGGGGGAAACCCAGAAAGCACGAAACGATTTCTATCGATTATAATGATTCCATATCTCTAAGCGCCTGTAAAGAATCGAACGAAGATCTGGAGATCGGTGTGTGCCTTTCAGCCATTGAGATGGAAGCTTTCATTCCCATCTTTAACAAGGGATTAGAAGCATGCTTTTAGATTCAGCATAGAAATCTGTTGTTTCAAATTTTCATATCATTTCAGTTGTTTTTGTTGTCTTGTTTACGTTTCTTTTTATGATCGTTTCTATCTCATAAATACGTTTCTTTGTCCTCTTCAAAGATGAATATGACCATGCAAACTACAAAAACCACCATCATCAAACTCATCCTCATTGCAATGACTCACGAGTGGTCCTTAAACGGTTTCGGATTATTTGATTTTGGTGTTAAAAGAGTTCGGTTTTGTTAAGAGTTTTTATAGTCACAATTTGTAAAAAGGGTTAAAAGGGAAAGGATGGAGATGAGACTTCATTTTGTATAAACTTTAAATTAAGATTTTGAACCATTGGGTGGTGTCTGATTAGTTTGAGCTTTATTTCAAAGGTTAAAAGTACCAGGAGGTCTCAGGTTTAAATCCAAAGAGATAAAAATTCCCACCACGGAGGTTTAAATACGTTGACTCCGAGTTATCTGCAAATCAGGTGATCGTTCTGGGATTAATTGGCTTGTATAGCGGGTTAAATTTCCAAGTTAATAAAAAAAAATTAAGATTTTGTTAGGTTAAAATAATTGACTTCTAGAAACTTGGAATCGTTGTTGGTTCTAAATTTTGAAAATGATATATTATTATTTTGAGATTAATGTATTTTTTTATAAGCTAGTTGAATTAAAAAATAGGATTTATGAAATAAAATTTTTTAATAATTATTTATTTCTTTTTTTAATCGAGCAACCGATATTTAATATAAAATATTAGATAACAATTTTTCTTGTCTTAATCAGACCTTTATTTTAATTGTCTACGATTACCCACAAGTTTTCTAAAGACGTGTTTAAAACATTTTCAGGGCCGTCTTTAGGGAATGGCGGCACGAGTGCACGTCCAGGGCTCGAAAATATTAGGAGCTTAATTTTTTTTTAAATACAATAGCAGTCTAAAATAATTTAATAAATTAAAGAAACCTAAAAATTGTAGCATATAATAAGAGGAAAAAAAATTTAATAAATAATAATGGTCAAAAAATATATCAACTAATTACATTGGAGAAACGAATAAAAAAAATTAATTGGTCATTCATTATATGCTATTATTTATTGTTTCTCTAATTTTTTTTTTAATTCTAATAAGGTTCAATGATATTGGCTATTGTTATCTCTATATGATTGACTGTTTTCGTGCTTTAACAATTCAACGTTAAGATAATGTGTATGCTATTGCTAAATATTTTTGTTGAATATTTTTTATCAATTTCTGCTTCTATTGACTATTGTTATTTGATTATGTTGTTCTAATTGTTTTTGTTGATTGTTGTTATCTATTTTTGTTTTTACATAAAATATTTTACTATTGTTTGACAATCAATTTATTGTTCTTATAATTTATGACGTGTTTCATGGTTTTGTGATTAACTAATAAATTTTTTCTACTATATGTATTTAGTAATGTCTCTTATATATGTCATATTCCATAAACTTTTAATCTTTACATCTTATTTTAGTTGAGCAAAAAAAGAAGAAAAATAGAATCCAAATATTTTTATCAATTGTTTGACTTATATATATTTCATTACGATTCCATCACACCACAAGATTTTATTAAGTGATCAAACAATCATTTGTTGAGTTTTTATATTATATGTTTAATTTATTATTTATTTTTATTGGATCTCATGGATCATCTTTTCTTTTATATTATTACTGATCCTTATTTGTCTACTTGTCTAGAAAACCTTGATAATCTTATTTATTATTGATCTGTCATTGACTCTCATGATTATTTCATTCATACGAATTCTCTCATTGTATCAAAATAAGACATATATTTTTGTTATGAACTAAAAAAGTTGTTGCTTTTTATAAAAAATTATCAATCATAGTTTCTATACTCTTGGTTTCAAATTATCTACGTAAATTTAAGTACTCTTTTATATATTTATAATAAAGATAAATAAGTTTTCTTTCATCAGTAAATTTTTAGCATTTCTTGTACTTAGTTTTATATTAATGAAAAACATTTATTGAATTTCTTTTTCGTACTTATCGAGGGTCACTACAAAAAAAGTTAGATTTGACGATGCACCTTTTAGCGATGACATGTTTTTGCCACAAGTTATAGCGACAACATGTTGTTATATTATATACTCTTTCTAATGATAAATGGACTTTTAACGACAAACAAAGTCATTACTAAAGCCTTGTGTTTTTTAGTGGACCCTGTTTTTTATAAAATGTCATAAACGAGTTTTAATATTTTACAATTTCTCATATTAATTTTATTATTGGTAACTATGAATTATTATTTAAATATTTTTTTTATTTTTTTTATTAATCTTTTAGTCAAGAGGCTTAATTAGGATCAGATTTCTTGGGCAGGTTTTTCAGACTTTAATTAAACCTTGACTATTCAATAAATATCAACAGTTGACATTTTGTTTTTACTTGCAGTCGATCTTGACTTTGACTAAGCCCGCCGTTGGAATATTATATGCTTATGTTTAGAAATGGCGTTAAGGATTGAATGTCCTTATGGCTTATTCGGTAAGCCATTAAGAGTTAACTGAAAGTGGCTTAATAACTAAGAAGATGGCTTATTCGGTTGGTCAGAAAAATAGAAACTACAAGAAAATAAGTTTTAGAGAAGCAAACTTTAACGAAGGATTTGGATGTGTATCTAAAAACAATCTTTAGAGAAGGATTTGGTTAACAAAAGCGAAAAGCGTATCCGAAGATGGTACGATTTCCAGAGGAGGTTTATAAGGAAAATTGGACGATACAACTAAAAGTTTTAAAGACACTTACAAAAGCTTTTCTAAAGATGGAACCTAAAGTTTTAGTAATGAAATTGTCTCGATGGTAGAAAAGAACATGGAGACGTAAATCGTCTTGCATCTAGCCTCTCTGCCCCATACGCAAATCCCTTTCTTTTCCCACAATTCAACGTCATCAGAGCTCATTCTCATCCGAGTTTTCAGCAATGTTCGTCCCACTATAACAAAAAAGGATTTATAGGACATCATTAATTTCTAAGCGTCCTAATAGATCACCACTAATTTCTAAGTATCCTAATAGACCATTTTATAGGACTTAATTTACAGGAGCATAAATTAAACCGTTCTATCTAAAGGCGTTGTAATAAGTTTATAGGATGCTTTTATGCATCTTAACAAGATTTTTATGACGCTTTTAGTACATACCGTCGCATTAGCAATTTTATAACACACTTGTTTTTATAGGACACTTGTTTCAAATAATGTCATATCAAATTGTTAATGAGACGCTAAAAGCGTTCTATAAACATATCTTTTTATAGGACACTTTTCTCAAATAATGTTGTATAAAATTGCTAATAGAACACTTTTTAATAAAGTGTTTTAGAACACTTGTTAAGACGTCTATAACTCTCTTAAAAAACTTGTTAAGACGCTCAAAACTGTCCTATAAACTTAATACAACACTTTTAGATATGACACTTCTTTTTTTGGTTTTATAAATTAAGTCTTATAAAGTGGTTTATTACGACTTTTAAATCTTTTGACATCCTGTAAATCCGATTTTGTTGTAGTATCCACAGAATCTAAAAATTAATTCATCAAGTCATTCGATTGCACACAGTAGGTTGTTTCCAATCCGGAGAACTTAATAAAGAATTTATGGATGAAGATAGAAAAGTAGATTTTTAATTTCTAACAGGACTTGATTACGAGTACGAAGCCATCATTTTGTTGAAACAAGAGCAGCACAGTCGTGATCTCTTCTGGTGGCTTAACAACCTAATTAAGCACTTCACTTTTGGCTGTATCATGTAGCTTCAACTTTCTAATGTTCAACCTATTTGTTACTGTACTACTTCCAGTTGCTCATGGTATTGTTGCATTATGCTTATTGAAGGTTACAATTGTTTTTGGTACTTGGTTACCTCTAGATTTACTAGTTCCTCATGTCTTCTGTTATGAAACATATTCTATTTATGTTTCATCTTTTTTAAACCCTAATTATAACCTAATGGGCTTCCTCTCATTAAGTCCATACCAAATTGGGTTCTAATGGGCTCTCTTTAATTAATCACATAATTAGCCCATTACTTAAATAGCGTAATATAATTATATAATAATATGTAAGCCCATAATTATTATTGAATTTATAAATAAATCCCGACAATCTCCCACTTGGGCTACATGTTATTCTTGATCAATTATATTTAAATTTCCTTAGTGCGCAACTTTATGCTATTTATTTAATTAGAACCCCTTTTAAGGTACAATCTTGTCCATCTTCTATGTTCGTATGAGATCATGGCGGCTTTTGTCACTTCAATAATGTAACTTAACCTTCCATGGTCACCATA